GAAAATGTAATAGGACCTAATAATTTCATTATTGATCCACGATCTTAAGATTATCGAGAAAATAATATAAAATTTAAATTAATAAATTTAAATTAAATTAATACGAAGACATGATGATTATTAGATTATCTTTAAATATGATAAAAATTAAATACATTTAAAAATAAAATTGAAGATTATAATAAAATGTAAAAATTATAATAAGAAAAAATAATATTAATGATCATTCGAGAAAAGGATATCTATATAATATAACAATTTTAAAAATATTTCCATTTTTTCCTTTAAATTAGAGTATTTCTCGTTTTAATACTTTACCGAAGAAAATATATTTATTATTAATATATAATAAAATAAAAGGTTTAAATTTGAACAGTGAAACATTCAATTTGTAAAATATTTATATAATACAATATTCGATTTAGATAATTTTCTAAGTAATGGTACTTTTGCCATATCTCCATTGCCAAAGATAATATTAAGTAGAGAATACTTTAATAGGTGGATTATTATAGGTATATGCACAGCTGTATCCTACATATCGTCTTATTTGCGATTTTCTTTTCGAGCCGAAACCCCTTTATCGCATCCTTTACAATAAGTAGTTCCTTTGCAACGAATGTAATTATCAATGTAATTATCTTGCGGCAGATGCAATCCAACTGGTCGCCACTACACGTCCACTTTTTTAATTTAAGAACCTTGAATCGCAAGTATTTTGCCGCTTATAAATACCATTAAACGCTTAACTCTATTAATGCTTAATGCCGAACGATATAATTTACATTATCTATATAAAACATTTTACTCTAACGATCTCTTACTCTAACGATTAATTATAAAAATTTTCTATCGAATTTAAATGGTATCTTGATATCTTACTTAAAAAAAAAAAATCACCTTTTATTTAATAATTATTTTAACTTGCTTTAATTTTCTCTTAAAATATCATTTCTAAAGTATTTTCGAAACTTCTTTATAAAATTGTATTCTACTCGTATCAATTGCCATGCAATCTCATTGCATTAAATATTTCTATTGATATTGTTCAATGATTTAATAATTTGATAAATTATTCGGTAATTCATAAGTATGATAAATATAAAAATAAACATTTCTTAATTTTTATAAGAAAAAAGTTATATTTCTCATCCACGAATATTCATCGATATCATTATCATACACGTTCATTATTATACACTAACACGTGTAATCTCTATATAACGATTCGACGATATAAAAAACGAAAATATTTCAATTATTATCGCTCGTTCCCTTTTATATCGAAATTGAATATCCTCGTGAAAATTTATATCTTTGTTCTAAATCTAAAGCAAAGAAGAAAAATTTTTCAAAGATTATCTATCTCGAAAAGAAATTTTTCTCAGAACATTTCTCGAAACAATATATCTCGAATCAGGTTTATTTAACGTATTAACGCATGCCTCTCATCATCAATATAAATTCATTTTATAACATTCTCGTGTTCACGTGAATTTTTGACGAATTCTTCTTACGATGTTCCTCGTAATTCTCTCGGCAGGAAGTAGCGAAAATAAACGAGTCGAAACGAAAATAAGTATATGCCCACCCTCTAGTCTACCTGTTACGTTTTAAAATCGGAACGAATCGACAATTCGATCAAACCGAATCGAATCGAAGAGAAGGCAGAGAGTTGGTGGTGACACACTTTATTCTAAACTTCGCGATAAATAAACAATTCGATTGATCGATTGTTCCGCGTTGTTTGCGTAACGAGAATTGGAGTCGTGGTATATAACAATCGGAACACACCCTGGTTTCGAGTTACGTCAACGCCAGTTGTCATTAGACGTTAACTATTGTCGCGTTTGCAAAGTGTACGGTAATTGATTGCGATGGATAGAGGGTGGGGAGGGGAGGTTTTCGATTAAACGAATCGATCTCGATGCATTTTCCTTTGCGATTATCGAAATTTTGTATCGTAGTTTTTATGCAAAGATGATAATTTTCTCGTATTTTTAAATCAGATATTGAATATAAATTTCAGTATTATAAGTTAGATAGAAGTATAATAAAAAAAAAAAAATAAAAATAAGCGTGTTGTCGATACATTAAAATTTTTTCATAATTGAAGAAACATGTATTGATAATATAAAAGATAGAAATGAGAAACATTTCCAATGATTATTACTAAAAAAGAAACATGCTGATTAATAATCTAGATATACGTTCTATCTTTACGAGATAGGAATAAAAGTTTTTTTAAGACGAATATTTTCTTAATAAATCTATGATCAGATAGTCTAATTTTAGAATGGAAAAAAAATTACGATATTTTTAAATATTTTACAATTTCTTTCTAAAAATTAAATAATATTTAATTAAATTTGTAATTTTTTCTTTTTCTTTTTTTAATTGTTTAATATTAAGCAGAACAGAGTAATAGAAATTTAGATCAGAAAAATTTGTAATATGTGGTAACTATATTTTACAAGAAATTATCGTCACAAGAGAACAAAATATCATAAATCTATACGTCATATTTCATCTTATTTCCATTGAAAAGAAATTGGCGTTAAAGAAGATGATAAAATGGGCCAAATGATATATTACGTTACATCATCTTTCAGTTATAAAAGATTTAATACATCATAAATTTTCACCTTTCTTCTTTTTTTAACTATATAACTATGGATTTTATCTTTTGAAAATATCTAAATTTCACTTATACATTTACACTGAAAAATGGATACATCAATTTTTGCTATTTTATTGCATATTTTATAATAATCTTTAAATTTATAATAATAATACAAATTCAAACATTTATCTGATCATTGTTACGTGTAATAAACAATTTATAAATAATTTTATAAATATTGTTGAAGTATAAAATGTGAAGAAGATAGATTAATTTTCGTACATTCGAAATTTATATTATATTATGAGTAATAAACTTTATACTATAACTATAAATTACACAAATCATAAATCCTTATTTAATATATGCTAACATAATGCAATAAGCATCATATTAACAAGAAGATAGTCGTCTTAATACGTTCGTTATCGTTGATTAGGGAGAATGTTAACCGCAACATTCCTCGCTTTAATTATAGTAATTTCATAATAAAAAAAATAAAAAAAGGATAAAAACGTAATGAGTGTAATAATATAGTAAAATGTAGTTCATTCTTTATATGTTATAGTTACATATACATAAACAAATTTCATATATCATATATACTTGGAAAACTAAAAAGCAATATTTGTCATACACGTGACATTAATTTTTAGAAGAGGGATTACTAGGATGTCATATCACAAACTCAAAGATATTAAAACACTTTTATTACGAATATAAATTCTATTATTCATTATTTTGGATTTTTTGAATATATGAATAATTCAATTATTTAAATTTTCCGTACAGTTTTATGTACAGGCGTGATGTTAAAACTTCAATAAATATATTTTATTATCAATAAATATATATGATCGTGTGACGTTTATTAACTATATCGATAGCTGTTCATAATTAACAATAAATTTAAGGAATATAAAGAGCATCACGAGCTCCAATATTTTTAACGTATTTAAATTATTTGTGCTGATTTTTGTGCAATCCAATGATAATTATTACGGTAAAAGTGGAATAATGAATATCTTTCGCATAAAAATAAAAAATGTAGATGTACAAATACGAACAACCTGCAAAAATGTTCTACTTTTCTGAAATATCCTGACATTTTTATGATATCGAGCAGCTGCATCTTAATACAGCCAATGCGAAGCGAGAAATTTGGGACGTTGATTTTTATCGATTAATCGGGGTGAGCTTTTTACATCACCATCCTTGAATTATGGAGTTCAGTATGGTTTCCATGAATTTTGTTTTTTCTTTTTTCTTTCTTTCTTTCTTTCTTTCTTTCTTTATTATTGTATTTCATTTTTTTTTTTTTTTATTTTTTATTATCTCCTTTCTTATCGCTAATTAAATGGAATTTCCGTAATTTTTAAATAAATTTTATTGTTTTTAATACGTATCAATAATTTTTTGCCTATTTCTAGAATGAAATAATTGAATACTAAAGTAATTATTTGCGAGGAAATTAATCTGAATAAATATTAAACAAATCAAATATTCACATTATGGCATACATTAAAAATTATTTTTTTTTGTATATTATCTTTTTTTTCAATTAGATAATCGTTTGATATAATTCAAGAACCACTATCGGAAATAACTTCAAAATATTTAATATGCTTTATGGGTTAAACACACAATCAATATATCCACCCTATCAAACATCTTATCTATTCGAAGATAGAAAACCTGACATTATCGACAATTAAAAAAATAAAAAAAAAAATATGGCATTACGATAAAACTGGAAATAATTAAAAATTATTCCATTTCCTTTATAAACTAAATTTAATTCAACGTATGAGAGCTTTATCTTGTATTGTCCTCGACTATTCATACTTAATCCTTTGAATACTAAATACTTGAAACACGAACATTTCCTGTAGAGAATGAATGATTCTCTATGATCATGAAAATATAATATAATTTTGCAGATTTTACAAAATATCCATTGATAATCTTTTACGTTATAAAAAATTTAAAATAAATAAAATTACATTTTATTTAAATTATTTGTAATAAAACTACTTGGAAAAGAAGAGGACAAAAAATAAAGAAAGCTTCATTCTTCTATCCTATCTATGCAAGTAGAAGTGATTTATTACTTTAACTTTTCATTGGATAAAATTATCTCTTTTACAACTAAAAACCAAACTTTAACCTACAATTCATTACGTTATATACATCGAGACGAAAAAGACATAAAAAACTATCAATTACGACTCATCTATTAACTTACAAAGCGACAATCTTTACTAACTTTTACATTTCTCTGGACAGGATCAATTTTCCCCTCCGAAAAATCGATCAAAAATATAAAATAACACTACCGTGGAAGAACAAGTTAATTGATAAATAAACAACCACTCACCAGTTGCAGACTGGGTCTGAAGCAACAGTCCGATCAACGAAACCAGAACGTAAGTATTGTACCGGGGTGCCACGATACCCCGTCGCAGGGTCGTCATCTCAGGCGGCCCCCGCCAGGTGCCCCCTCGAGCTGCCGCCGCCCCTGCGACCGCCTTCGGCAGCTTCGGCTTCTCAACTTCCGCCTTCGCTCCCGCCAGCTCCACGCCGCGTAGTCCTCGTGCTTCACATCTCATCTGCCACGCCGCTGTCGCTTCTTCCCCGTGCGGTGGCGACCCTGTCCTTCCCCGAATCTCTCTCGCCCCGAACGTTTTACCACGTATTACCGGGCCGCCACCACCTCCACCTCCTGGACCACCTCGTCATTTAACACACCGTTTCGCTGAAACGTTCGATCGTTTACAACCGCCTCCCTTTTCCTCTCTATCACTTCTATTCACTTGCTACTCGTTCCTCCTTGCGTGATATAACGTGTAAATATATATATATTAGCGTTCAACGATACTGTACTGCCAACAGTTAGATGGATTATACGCTTACGAAAAAAAAAAAAAAAAAAAAAAGAAGAGAGTATTTCCTCCTCGGTTCCTCTTATCTCCCCCCCGCGTATCGTCCCATCTGCCCGCGACGTGACGAAATTCGGGGCCCCAAAAATTCCGTATCCGTACCCGAGGAATCGGTGTCACGCGGCTACAAGGCGCACACCCGATTGCCACGCGATTAATGTCGCTCGCATTCCCGCGAGAAAGTTTCACAAGGACGACACACGACCGACGAGTATATAGAAATATATCCGTTTCCTTCCCTCACTCGTTTCCTCCCACTCGATTCCACACTCGGGGGAGCGACGATTCGAAGCAACGATTCGATGAAAGAGGAGAATGGTGACACTGTGTCAAGTTCGTTCCGGTGGCGACTTGGATTTATTATTATCCAGGTTATTATTAAGCCCGTTCGAATGTCGAGTAAATATCCCGGATGTCGTCGTCGAATACGCGATTAATTCCTCCTCCGGTGAAACTTCACGAGCGAGCGGTGAACGCGAGAGAAACTGCACGCGGCGACGAGGAGCGAATACGAGGGCCCGTGTTGCGGATCACGTGTCCGGCCAAGGGAACTCACTGAACAGTCACACCATCCACGAGGTGAAGCACGCCGCCGAGAGACCGAGGGGGGAAAAGGGCGTTCGGTGGAAGCCGAGGAATCGATTCGAAACACCTGTAGAAGAGGCGACGTGTTTCCGTTCCGTTTCGTTCCGGCAAACGGTCCCCAGCCTAGAGCAGCACCCAACAATATTCTGTCCTGTCACCGTGTGTGCACCACCAATCGCGTACTTTCTCGAGCTCCGTACGTATATATACATATACGTATATACATACGTACATACATATATATATCTTGGTCTTTCTCCTTCAAGGGGCACGCGTCTTCCGCTTCCGAATTACGGGTCGTCTCATGTCGATCGTCTGACACATGTCACAACGACGCACCATCCATGGTGTGTACCATCTCGATCCTTCTCCTATCTCCTTCCTCTCTTTCTTTCTCCTCCTGTTAGTCCTCGTGGCCGGTTACTCTCGTAGCAAGGTTAATCTCGAAACGTCCGCCGCGACACGTGGACACGATAAGGCGCGAAACGCGTATCTTTGCCTGGCGAGGGCCTCTGCTCGCGAACGATTGGAGCACGAGCCGGCTCCCTCGACCTGCCTCACTCACGGATCGTCCTCGTCGATCGTCCGCCAACGAGTGACGACGATCACCTCTCCCGATCTTATCTCGGCCGAGCGACGAAGACGACGACGAAGACGAAGACGAAGACGACGACTACGACTACGACGACGAGTCGTTCGTTGCGTCCGTTCGTTCGTTCCCTCGCTTTTTTACTCTCTTTATATTCTCGTTCGTAATCGCGGGTCCGCTCGACCGTTCCGGGTCTCGAGAACGAGCGCGGGTAGTTTCGTGGCGCGCAGATTCGTCAGATGGAAACCAAGCGCGCACGAGGCCGCCCGGCAGACTGAGAGTAGCAGTCGACAGTCGACAGTCGGCAGGCAGCAGCGGCAGCAGCAGCAGCAGCAGCAGCAGCAGCCAGCAGCAGCAGCAGCAGCAGCTAGTAGCAGCAGCCAGCAGCCAGCAGCAGCAGTATACAAGGCGGAACGTTTCCCCGTGTGCCGAGCGAAGCTCTGCAAAAGCGGTCTGCACACGCGGCCGCGCTGTGTTATGTTGTGTCCCCACTTCCCTTCTTGAAGCGCGCGATCGCGGCTGCGGCTGCGGCGGCGGCACCGGCTCGCCTATCTGCCTGTATGCCTCTATGCCTTGCCTGTGCCTGCCTCCTCTATATCTGCCTGTATGCCTTGCCTGTTTGTCCGCCTGCCTGTCTCATGCATGCATGCATGCATTGCATGTTTCGCCTCCTTCTTCTTCTCTCCACGACCTCTCCTCGAGCATATACTCCTTCTCCTTAGTCTACTCCTACTCCTCTTCCTTCTTTTCTCCTTCTCCTCGCTGATTCTTTACCATCCTCCCTTCACCGCCTCCCTCCCCCTCCCCGCCCCCGCCCCCCCCCCCTCCCCCGGACACTGCCTTCCTTCCTTCCTCCTCGAGAGGCTCCATCGCCTCCGTTCTTTTACACGTTCTCTTACGCGCCCGATACCTCCTACGCTTTCCTTCCTCTTTATCTTTTCCTCCCCTCTCTCTTTCTCTCTGTCCCTCTTCATTACTTCGTTCGTACTCCCTCTCCTTCTTTCCTCCTACTTTCTTTCATCGCTTTCATCCGAACACGTCGCAATCCCCATTTCTTATCTTTTATATCCACTAAGCTAGCGTTTCTTTCTTCCTTCTCTTCGCCTCCCCCTCTTCTTGCTTTTTCGTCGTCCTTCCCTTTTTTTTTTTTTTTTTTTTTGCGATGCGCCCCCCCTTTGTCGGGGCCCGGCGATAACCCCTTCCTCCTGCTCCTCCTCCTCTTCTTCTTCTTCTTCTTCTTCTTCTTCTTCTTCTGGTTTACTTCCGGTATTTGTAACTGGACGGGTAGGAGTGGAAAGTGTGTTGTGCACGCCGCGGGAGATTCGATTCCGCCGGCGGACGGAGGAGAAGGTGGATCACGGGTCCCACCGTGCGGATATTTTTTGCCCGGTTCCGCGATATTTATAGTATAGCCGCGTTTCTGTTTGTTTCGGATGCATAAATTGTGTAAGGCCTCCTTTTTCGACCGGGTGGGGTGGGGTGGGGTGGGGCTCGGAGGGATGGAGGAGGGGGGGAGGCGGTAGAAAAGGAAAAGTGGCCGAGAGTGTCTTCTTTGTTCCCTCGTCGAGGGTCGTTAACTCTCGTCCCTCCGATGACGGATTTTTCGGATTCTTTTTGCGTCGCGCGGCGAAGAGGGGAAAGAAATTGCAAGTGCGACGAAAGACGATCTCTCCCGCGTTCGAGCGTAAATCGAGAGTATGGGGTAAACAGTTTTTCGTTTCGTGAGCGTTTCACGAATAATTTTTCGCGATAACAATTTCTCGTTTTAATTGCCATCATTTTTCCCCTTCCGTTTTCTTTTCTTTTTCTTTTTCTTTTTTTTTTTTTTGTATCAACAATTAATAATACAGGTTACGATAATAAGAATTTTGGAAATAAATTTTGAGGAATTTTACAATTCTTTGAAAAAAATGTCTGAAAAGTATATTTATAGTTTGTTCATTTCATATATTAGTTACTAAAATATTGTAAAAGAAAAATCTATAAAATTTTGAATTTGAATCAAAAAAATTTCACGTTTCCTATTGTGTCAAATTATAAAAATTTCTTTATAAAGAATGTTAAATATCAATACAAGAAAATATTCAAAAATTGAAATTCTTATTTTCCGTCTTTTAAATCGTTAAAATTAATAAGTAAAAATGCGACTACGTACTTGTTCAATTTGCTTCAAATTTTCCAAATTTGAAAAAAAATTTTTAATTCATTTCCACACTTGTGCCAATTATACTTCTCACAAATGATATATTCGTTAAAAGCACCTAGATGATAAATTTTGAAATATTTTAAAATACTTCCAAATATCCAAATTACATACAAAAAGAAAAAAAGAAGAAAGAAAAGAAAAGAAAATTACGACACTTTTAACTCGTGTTCGTTTAGAATCGTTTTTCAGTCGATCTTTCTACAATCTTACTTCTACGTTTTTCCCCGTGAATAATAATAGTGGTAGTCAGAGAAAACAATAGAGTCGACGATCGAGAATCGTGTTTCTCCTTTCACTCGTTTCGGTTTCGCTTCTTCAGTTTCCGTTTCCACTCAATGGGTCCATTCTGTTTTCTTGCTACTTCCCTCGGTGTTTAATGATGGTTATTAGTACTTTTATCGTGGATTATATATTTTAGTTTGAAAATAAAATTGTGCATGAGAAAGTATAGAAAGTTTTCGATTGCCTCAGCTTTAGCGATTATCTTAATCCCCAGTCATTTCTTGATTCTTTGCAAATTTGTCCACGTTTTTCGTTGTATTTTTGATAAATAATAGATTCTTTCTTGGATTTAATATTTCGTTTATTTATTTTTTCCTTTTTTTTTTTTTTTGCAGTATTCATTATTCCACTCAATCGAATCGTTGCTTCGTTTGATTGATGAATTACTTCAATAAATTGTATTTTGTGATTTTACAATATTTTTAAAATAAGAGTTGATCGATAATTATTAATTCTTTTACGTGTTTGCACTAATGCAACTATTTAATTATTTTACGATAAATCTTCTGATTAAAGGAAGAGATTGAAAAGAATTAAAAAAGAAAGATTTTCCTTGCTTTTTCTTTTACTTGTTAAAATCAATATGTGCATAATATTTACAATAATTATAAAAAAGTGTCAAAACTTAACATCAAACTACCAAATAAAAAATCAATATATAAAAAAACTACGAAACATAATGCCATGCATTTTTTACTCGTAAAGGAACAAGAAATAAATTATTTTATATTCAATAACGTTATAATAACAAAACTTTCCTTTCTCGAATCGAAGAATCAAAGAGAAATTAAAGAACAATCTAACTAGAACCAGTACTAGAAATTATCATAATTACAAATTATAAATCAATATTATCTAAACTATTTAACAAAACTTTAATTTTTCCCCCAAAGAGTAATCAAAAATTCCCCGAATTAGGAAAAAACAAGAATAAAAACAATTTAAACATTACTACAATACAATAAACCAACACCGTTAAAAACATCAAGCTACCAAAGAACCAACTAGCGAAGAATCATCCCTCCCACCCCCTCCCCCGAGATTGTGTCGTCCTTTCCAGCAAAGGGTTAACGCTTACCGAGCACCCTCGAACCGTTGCACGAGTACGAGGAGGCAGACTTTTACGAGGCAGATGGGACACGGTATCCCCTAGGATCGAATTCTTTCGGTTTCCAAAAACCGTTCCAAAGGCTATGTTTATATTATATTGCACAATTATACTGAAACAGTGGCATAATTTTTGAACGATCGAAATAAAATGCTACAAGAAAGAGAAACTCGCTTACGTACAAAATAATCCTCGAAATTATCCTTATTAGCTTTTGCGATTAATTGAATTTTAATTTTTTTTTTATCCATATTAAATTAAAATTAATAATTCTATCACTAAAAAATATCTTTTCTCCCTTATCCCTTCTTTTCTTCCCCATATATATACATACATATAGATATATATATATATATATATATATATATATACATATATACATATAGATATATATATTATATCAGTTGACACAGTTTATACAGTCGACCCACTGCGAATAACGTCACTGTTGCAGCAAATGTGCGATAGTTGTTTACGAAACGTGTGCATACATCACATACGATCACCGGTCACCGCGAATTCGGCCCCTCTTTCCCAAGGATCGTGACACGAGAGATCCTTGCGATCTAGGCGCCTAGTACGCCCTATCCGATGGCGATACAGGCTGTTGTCAGTCCCATGGAGATGGTGGAACGGGGAAGAAGAAGAAGAAGAAGAAGAAGAAGCGCGGACAGCGTGACACACACGCGTAAAGACAATTCGAGTCGAGGGTCGTACAGCGGTCGACCTTGCCTCCGTCCCGGTGGCAAAGTGCAATAGTAATTGGTGGATGCACCGGTGCTACGTCTCTCTTTTATACCGGGCGGCCACGAGAAAACGGTACCGCCCCCTTGGCCACGTGACGATACCTTTGCAGCCGGACCTACCACGCGCTTCTTGCAGCGCATCCCCTTCAAACGGTACAACCAGAACCCCCACCAGGAGGACTTGCACCCTTCCTTCCTTCCGTCCTTCCTTTCGCCGTTTCCTTCTTCCGAATTCCGCTTCCCACCGTCTTGGATCCACCTCGTTGATAATTTTAAGAAAGGGGGGAAGGTGGAGGATGGGAGGACACGAGGGGTGGCTTGACGTTCCATCCTCGATGCATCCTTGTTTGATAATTTTTTTAAGAGAAGGAAGGAAGGGGGTAATTCTTCCTCTTTGTCGAATGTGTTTTTATTGATAATTTTTTAAGAGGGAAAGATGGAGGAGTGATAATTGATAATTTTAATAATTTTGATAATTTTAAGAATAATTTTAAGAAACGTGGGGATGGCTTCTTTCTCTGATTTCTTACCACTTTGGATTGTTGATAATTTTAAGAAAGGAAAGGATGATGCTGATGATGTTGATACATTTTCTTTTTTTTTTTTTTTTTTTCAAGAGAGGAAGGTTTGGATTTAATGGTTTGAGTGATAGTTTGTTTGGAGATGGTAAGGGGAATATGGTGTTGAGATAGATCGGGATGTTGACGGATGTAAGAGGAGATTGGGTGGATCGAAGGGTGCGTTGAAATTCAGGGAATGGGGGTGGTTTTATCGAGCAATGAAGCGATATTGTAGGGAGAGATTGGGTTTACGGGTTGATTTGAGTATTGGGTTTGGAGATGGATTGAGTTTGAGCAAGTGATTAGAAGTGATGAATGAATTGTATTTTATATTTAACTGATTATAATAATTAAACAATTATATTCAAAATGAGTAAGTTGAATTTAAAATAAAATAAAAAGTATAATCATAAAAGTTAATTAAAAAATTAATCAATATTATTAATAATATAATAAAACATTTTATAATTTAAACATTTATTCTATTTTATTAAAAAATTATAATTATCTTAAAAGGCGAAAGAAACATTGAAATATTAACAGTTAATTTCATTTAAAAAAAAAAAAAATAACGCATTTGTTAGTTGAAAATGATTATTAAAAACTTTTGTGACTGACTGTAATAAGTCAATAATTGATTTTAAATAATGCATAAGGATAAAAATTCTGAGAAAATAGATATTTATTTACTGAAAGAAATTTAAAGGAGATAAAAAAGGAAACATAAAAAAAAAAAATATATATATACAATAGAATCACCGAGTTATTTACTTCACAATTAAAGAAATAAAACTTCTCGCTTTTGCAAGAGGATCACAGAATTGCTCATAAAAACGAAATGACAACGATGTTGAATGTTAAAGAAAGTCTGATCATCATAAAAATTTGTAAATTGCCTTTGAAACTGCTTCCCAGAAACGGTTTCGCGACAAAAGATTACATCCACGTTGGAATTGGTTTCTTTTCAGCTTCGAAAGGGTTCGAAGAGACGTATAAATAAAGACAAGATAAAATGCGGACGATGTCACAAAGTTGCAATGAAATGCAAACACGGTTGAACGAACCCTATCATTTTAATGCACCGCCCAATGAAATTCTCGCGATTCGAATCGAATTTCTTCCATGACGATCCGTCTTTTATAGCAGAACTCAAGAAATCTCAATACGATCCTCGCCTCATCCGTTCTTCTTTCTTTCTACTCCTCTACCTTCAAGAAGAACCCGTCGTTGCAAAGAAAAACAAACGTTCCTTTTAAGATCTTCTGTCTAGACGCGTTCCTCTTCTTAATTCATCATAGATTTTTCATTTACGTAATGCGTTTTACGCGAAATACACGATGGAAATGCGAAAATTACGCATTTTTCTGTTTTCTAATTTATTTCGATCTTAAAAAGATTGTTCCCTATTCTTGCATATTATATTTTCTATTTATCATCTCATAAATCTTTATATTTTTAGAAAATTTATGTATGAATTTTTTACATCTTTTTAATCTTTAAAATTATTAGTTAATCATTATATTAAATAAGTTTTAGATTTTGTTTAAGTTAATTTTTATGAATTTAAAATTCATGAAAATGATAATCGCTATATATTTTCATATTAGTCAGTGATTGAAAAGAAAATAATTCTCTTTGAAAAATTAAATAGATTCAAGAATTTTTATTCTTAAAAACAATTCAAACAAAATAATTCCAAGCACAGGAAAACTTATATTATTTTTACATGATAACAACGTGACAAATAATATTATAATTTTCAAAAGCTAATAAAAATCTTTATTAATCCTTACATCAATAACAAAAATTTTCAACATTATTTAATTTTAATAATCTTTTGATAATTAATGATAAACAATGATGATTCAGTTAGATTTGAAAATTTTTTAATTAAAAAAGAATCAAGTTAGATATTAATATAAACTTGACAAATTATTATATACAAAATATCCTACAAGGAAAAGATATATAATTTCCCATAAAAGAGAAATAAACTAAAAAATACAGGGGACAATTTTTAATTTACAAGATGTAATACTTTTAAAAAAAAAAAAAAAAAAACCATTTTGAAACTCTCAAATCTCTTGCAATAAATCCCTCCTCCTCTTTTACCAGGATACTCTGTTAAATTAAAAACAAAAATACCCGAACAATCGAATGTTCCACTTGAACGATAAGTAACTCGTTCATTCCACCGAGGTGACCAATCGATATCCCGGATGATGCTAACAAAAACCTCTGTTGCATCGATTTATCGACTGACTGCGTGAAAAATTCACCGACTCGCTTCCGTCACAGACGGAAGCGACCGTCTAGCGCGCTCGCGCGCCACCACTCGAGCCGATAAAAAAGTGGACGAAAGAGGGAGGAAGTTGGAAGGCAATGGATCGTGGTGCGGTTGTGGTCGATCCTCCTTGTCGATAGAATCGCGACAGGTGGCGAATGCCTAGATAGCCCAAGCGGTTCGGTGGTCACTCTGTCCATCGCCAAAGAATAGCAAGCCAAGGTCAGTTTCTGCGACCGGATGCAGCGGCCTAGCCTCGTTCGACCAATCTCTTCGCTCTGTGCATCCGCTTTTGCGCCGCGCGATTCCGATACGCTTCAATGATGTCGATTCGCCTCTCTTTCGCCGAGATCCGAAATCCAAAATCCGTTCGTCTTAATCCGTAGCTGTGATGAAATATGAATGGAGAAACGAAAATGGCCGACTCCCCCTTTTAAATATTTTTCATAAAGAAAATGTTGCGATATTATATCTTCATTGTAGTATGATTGATCGAAAATTTTTAGGTTAGAAATATCGTGTGTCCAATTGCAACAATTGTTTCATATATACGTTGAGTGTTAATAAATTCAGAGAAGGATAAAATATATTTTATGAATATGAAAGTAACACTCTCATTCGTTTAAAATTATTTATCTTACTGGAATCGTAAAAGTGAATATAAAATAAAATGAAAGAAAAATTTAAAAACTTACTGTTACGAATAAATATTATATTAAATTAAATAAATTGTATATTCTTCCTCTCTTTCTCTGGCATTTTTACATCGATTTACGTTTTTGAAAGAAAAGAGTATGGAGCTTGTATCAATTCGTTGTTAAATATCGAAATTAAAATATTAAATATTATTGGATATTATATTACTCAACTTATATTTTAAATGCACACTCACGAGGATTTCAAGAGCAATCATCCCAATCTAGATCGCGCCATAATTTTCGACGCACCCTATATATCGTTTTGCATCGATCAGTGCCACGAGCATCTTGCAGGACGTAAGGTTCAAATTACAGGAACGATCGTATCCTTTGAAACACTGTATCTTCTTCGCCAGTTTTATTTTCCAATTATTTCTGCCTTCACCGCAATTCATGCGCCCTGTAGTCATCTTTTATTGGCTGCTCCTTAAAACGAGTGAAAGTGTTGCACGATATCGTTAGAAATTTCGAACCCTAATTTTTCTTCATACTTTGTACGTTTTTGAAAAATGAACCAATTAAATGAATAAGTACCTATCGAACAAAAATCTTTCACGGTATAATTTTATTGAACATAATTAACGAGGGTTCTGCAGTGTTTCAACGATCGGATACAAATTTGGTAATCGAAATTATGCTCGAAGTTTTATGATAAATAAAGTTTTTTATCCTCTAGTGGTTTATAAATATATTAAAATTGGAAAATTATCTTTATTATTAAAAGCATAACACAATTAAAAAAATTTTAGGAGCTTCATATTCCGAACATAATTTTTTTTATAGCTATTTATCATTTTTCATTGGTAAATTCTAGAAATTTAAAAGCATTACAAAATCTTGTAAGGAAAAAAAATGTAAATATATTAAAATTTGAGAAATATTTTATTTAATTACTTAATAATTAACTAAAATACTATATACAAACTTGCAAAATACTATATACTGCATCTACATATACAAAATTGATAATTTAAAATATAGAAGAATAAAAGAATTAATTAAAAATATACATTAATAAATAATCTAATATATATACAATTCTCTAATACATGGAAAATAAAATAAAATAAAATATCTAAAATAAGAAAAAAATTCAATACAAACATGCTAATATATAATATCTCATTTTTGAATTACAATCAGTTTAAGTTATTCCAAATAATAAATGATCGATATGCACGTATAACGTTGTAAAAATTAGATTTCTTTTCAAATTCT